TTTCTGGGGGGGCTGGGAAGAGGCTCCTGGCTTTAGGAAACAACACAGCTGCCCCAAAACCCAGCAAGATCAGCCCTGGGGCAGGAGGCAGCAGGACTGGATCTGTCCCTCCAGCCTGGCTTCAGCAACTGGGAGTGAGGAGACTTTCTCCCTCGCCTCCGCCTCTGCCACTCCCAGAGCAGCTGGAAGCAGATTAGCACAGAGGAAGCACCGGTGAGGAAACAAAAAAAGTCAAACCACCATATGAATGGCCCCATAATGCCAAGGAACTCAGGGGAAGGGCGGTGCAGCACATTTCCCCTGGGCACACCAAAACCCCCTGCCCCTGGCATGTCCCAGGAGACTGGCACTCCTTACATCTGTCTCCTGCTCCCAGCACCATCCCCCCCAGCATCAGCCTGTGCCACCCTCTGTCTTGCCAGCCCAAGCATGAAGAACAAAGCTTTGCCCTTTCCAGTCAGTCGCCAAGCCCTGGGGCTGTGAAAGGCTCCCCCACCCCAGCAAAGCAGCTGGTGGAGACACGGCACTGCCAAGGAGGATCCGGCTCAGGATTACGGAGTGCTCCTACCTTTGAACCACCGCTCTTTGCCCTCCTGCCACTCAATGTTACCTTGGGCACTTGGCGGCACCCCAAAGGTGGCAGCCACCCCCTGCAGTGGGACACTGGAGTGGGAAGGATGCCATGAATGAGCCAAGTTGCCCTGGGGGGGGAGGCGTGGGGGCAGGGAAAACAACTTGGTTAAGCCTGGGCTTAAATTTGGGCTGGAAAGACTGAATTCTAGCTGTGTTTCAAGTTTGGTCTCACCCAGGAGTTTCCCAACACCAGAACTGTGCTTTGCAAAGCAATTCTGCAGGTCACCTTCCCTCCCAGCATCAGAGTCAGGAAATCCAGGCATTTTAACCTCTTCCTTCCTAGGCAGACATAGGATAAGGCATCCAGCCAAGCAGAGCAGGAGCTGACACCCACCAGACCCCAGAGTGGCAGCGTGAGGACAGAGGACGTGACCTTTGCGTTCGTGACAGGACTGTGAGACCTGGGGACAGCTCTTCCCCTGAGTGCTGCTAGCAGGACAGAATGAGCCTGGGGAAATTGAGGCAGCACTACAAACCTCACTGGAGAGTGTAGGCGTGCTGTCCCACCAGCCATCCGTTCTCCTGCCATGGAGGCTGCCCAGGCAGCACTTCCTGGCCAGGCACCACTGGCCCACGTGGATGGGTTTCCCCCCAGGAGCTCATGTTACTGCAGTGGTGCCTGCCAAGGTCACCATGCAGCAGCCCCAGGGAGATGGGGTGAAGGCAGCTGCTCGTGCTTAGAGCATCTCCTCCAGCCTCAGCAGCTCCTGGCTTCGAAATAAGCCCATCTCAAGGTCTCTATTCCCACTGGACATGATGCCGGGAGGAGCACGCCATCCAGGAAAGCTTTCCAGCCCCTACACTTTGGCAGGGAGGCTCAGAGGAGGCAGAACAAGCCTTGTGTTACACCATTTCCTGCAGAAACAATGATCATGCCAGCACTTTGGCACACTCGAATCCCTTTGACAACTGCAAGCAAGGACAGAAACTCCTGGAAGAACTCATTTCCTGCAGGTTTGATGCAAATAAACAGCTTTCAGCCCACAAAGGCCAGTGGCAACAGAGAAGGGCACAGTACTGCTCCAGGCTGCCTCTGGCTCTGCTCTCACCCTCAATGCCTTTTGCATTTCTTCCCTTAACACTGCTCCTGCAAGCAGGAGGGAGGAGGGGGGGTTGCAGCCATCCCTGACTCAGCTCATATCAGCTCTGGTTGGGGTGGCTGCAGACATGCCTATGGGAACATCACCCAGGTCTGACACATGTGGAGCATCCCTGGAGCAGGGATGCCCCATCCCACTTTGCAGGTTGAGGTCTTCCCCTTACCCTTGCATGGAGAGAAGCAGCCTCTTGGGAGATGGTGGGGGGAGCTGCCTGGGAACTCACGTGTCTTCCAGGCACATGAAATGGGGTGGGAAAGGACACAGCTCCATACAGAGCTAATGAAAGCTGGGAGGATTTCCAGCAGCAGCAGCAGATCCCGTTGCCTTGCTGCTGCTCTGGCTCACAGCATGGACAGGCAATTCCGGGTTTGAGATCCAGCCTGGAGACCCCCAGGCCAGGCTGCTCAGCTCGACTGGACCCCATGAAAGCCCTTCCAGCAACAGGTCGGTGGGCAAGATGGAGGTTTTCTTGTGATCATCCAACAGCTTGGCCAAAGCCCTTGCTTTCAATGGCCAGCCAAGCTAGGAAGGTGTCAGGAAGAGGTGAAGGCACTGGATGCTTTTACCAGTGTTATTGTGCTCAAGAGAAACATCCCAGGTGTGGGACTGGGCAGGGAGACGACCCCAGCCAACCTTGCAGAAACCTGCCTTGATTTGGGTGGGTTTTAATCCTTGGAGGGAGGGGAAAATCCCTGTCAGCTCCTCTGGTTTGAGGTGGGGATGTGGGTGCATGAGAACACAGCAGCTGAGCCCCCCTTTGCAAGGCCCCAGCATGGAGCTATGGGGAGAAGGGCTGAGGAGAGGTGACAAATATGCCACCAGCACTGCCCAGGGCTGAGGCTGACAGCTTCAGGGACCCGGTGTCACAGTGGAGGGGGCTCACTTTCAGGGGTGCATAACTCGCCCCAGAAAGCTCAAGCCAAAATCCCCCCTTGGAGGTGCAGGACCCAGCCTCGGCTCCTGCGCTGCCGTCAGCAGAAGTGGGCACTTCTCCGGGACATTTTGGTGTTGCCCTTTGCAGGGGATCTACAAGCCACAGCCTGGCAATGTCCCAGGGAGCCCTGGACAGACAACACTTGGAGAGGAGCAAACCTGCCCCCCTGTTTTGGCTGCTCAGCCTGGCCCTCCCCGCTCCGCACCAGCCCCATGGACGGAGCTGCCTCTTGCAGCTGAATTTCAGCACAAAGGGGAAGTCTGCTTACAACCAGGCTTCACACCCTACGTCCTTTTCCTCCTCCTGCTTCTCCCTCACCACAAACCACAGTCATCCCCACGAGGATGCCATGGAGCATCCCTCCATAGATCTCAGCAAAGTTCTTCCCACCCTATCCTACTCGGCACTGGGAGCACTGGTGGTTCTGGGAATGGAGTGGAGGAGGATGAGCAGAGGCTGCTGTCTTCTCCCTTGTCCTGGGAGCAGCAGAACTCAGGGGCTGGAGGGGAAGAGCAGTGACGATTAGCCAGGGGAACACCACTGCCCCCGAGAGAGGCTGCGGGGAGGGGGCAGGCAGAGACAAAGCGCTTCCCTGCCATGAAGCAGAGACAGGGACCCCCGTTCGACATCCCGGGGTCACGCAGGACACGGGTTCGGGGGGGCTGAGCCCCTCGGTTTTCGCACCCGCCTTGCGGAGCGATGCTCTCAGCAGGGCGGGCGGAGGGGACCGGCCGTCAGGATGCCGACACCACCGTGCCCGCAGCCGAGCGGGGGGACATAGGGCTCTATGGGGGCAGCAGAGCTCTGACTCCCCACCGCCAAGGGATGTTCTGCCCATCCCCACCCCCCACTCACCTCCACAGCCCCTCGAAGGGGGAAACTGAGGCGCGGACCGGGGCGTGGGGAGGGACCGGAGCTGCGCGCAGCCAGGCGAGGGCGAGCAGGAAACGAGCTCCGGCTTCGCAAGCAGCTGCCGGCCAGCCCGGCCCTGCCCTCCCCTCCTCTGCCCTCCCCTTCTCAGCCTTCCCCTCCCCTCGCCTGCCCGACCCTCCCCCACGGCCGAGGGGCTTTGTGCCGCTGCCCGGTGCGGCGGGAGGTTTGGAGCAGCGGGATGAGCGGCACAGCACAGCTCCGGCAGGGTTTTTTGAATTTTGGGGTGAGAAACCAGACTTTTCGCAAAGCAGACCAAAAGATTCGGGTGATGAAGCCAAGCCGCTTCACGTCCCGCCCCCGCCGCTGTGCTGCTCCCCCCGCAGCCATAAACTGGCCAGGAGGGAGCTGGAGCCATGGGAGGACCCGGGACGGGGGGGTCTAGCCCAGTGCAAGCTCCAGATCCCGACCAGTATCCCAGACCACCACAACTCACGTGGAAACTTTTGGGATGATGTTTCCACCTGGGTTTATCCGGGTGGGAATGCTCCCAGGGGGCGTGAAGGTAGCTTAGGGCGGGGGGTGGAGCCGCCGGGGTCACCGAAGATCACTCCTAGCTGGTGCTCTTTAGGGTTTTTGGTGTCCTCAAGGTGCTGCTGGACACTTGCCGTGTGCTGGGGTGGCACAGGAGCTCGCAGCCTGTGACTCACAGGGACAACCTGCCACGAGGCTGGGGGCGGTGACTCAGAGACACAGGGTGTGGGTTACTGAGGCCACCATGAGTCACCCGTGGCACTGCTGGCAGCTACGGCAAGCAGAGTGACCCCTCTATCCCTGCCTCCTGCAGCCCCCTCGGGCCTCTTCCTGGGGCTCCTGGTGCAGAACCCCCTGCCACGGCCCTGCACAGCTTGGCTGGGCTGTTTTGGGCTCACAAAGTTGCTGGGTGCAGGCACAGTGAAGTCCACCTGTGTTTCAGGGCCACTCGGACGTGGAAACGGGGCATCTGAGTCAAACCAGGTCATTTTCCTATGCAGCGGAGTGGTTGGAAATAGCTCCCTCTGTTTGTGAGCATTTTGTGGTGCCATGGGAAAGGCTGAACAGGGACCTGCTCCTTCCAGCCCCAGCATTATCCCCCAGTCGGCAGCAAACGAGCATTAGATCTGAATCGCAGCAGGGACCGAGGGCGTGCGGTGGCAGAGGGCACGTGGCCAGCACCATGGGACATGGTTCTACTGAAAGGCCATGGCTGTGGGCAGCCCAGTCTGTCCCCAGCAGAGGGGACGTGTGGGGGCACACCTGCACCCCTCAGTGTACCAAGAACAGGCAAACTCACAGTGTCAGTGAGGACTGCTGCAGCTCCCTGAACCCTTCACACTTATATGGTGGTGCCAGCCATACCTTAGATCCTACCACAGGATGTTCCACCTGCTCCAGCATTACAACTGCCCCATTTTTCCTCTAACTTTTTATTCTAGAGCTTTGGTGATTTATGGCATGGGGAAGGAGCAGTGACACCTCCCAGCTGCCTTCCCCTCCCTGGTCCAGCTAGGCCTTGGGCGATGCTGCAGACTGCAGCCGCTGCAGCTCTAGGACACGGAGGAGGAGGAGGAAAGCGATGCTCAGGAGAAGCAGCCAGAAGAAAACCCAGTAGTGCTGCGGGAGGAAGAGCCACGGCCGCCACAGCTCCACTGCGGATCCCTTGGACCTGGGGAGAAAGCAATGGGGGACACTCGTCATCCATGGGAGAGAGCAAATCCCACCTCCACCCCAGCTGGGGATGGGGAGGGCGTTTAACACAGCCCCAGGCCTTCCACAAACCAAAATGCAACAAGCCCAGGGAGGGCGTGGGTGACCCGCAATGCATGGGCAAAACTGAGGCACAGCAAGGTCTGGCTGAGGCAGCCAAACAACATTCTGGCCTTCCACCACTAAATCCCCCAGCCTGCTTCCCAAGTGCTGGCCACCTGGGGACCACAGAGAGTCCAGCAGCCGTAGGGGAATGCTGGGCACACACAGTGCTGCTCACGTCAGCCCAAGCTGCTCCGGCTCCTCATCCCCTGCCCTTGAGCCTCTGCCATCTGCCTCAGCCACCAGCTCCTCAGTCATGGCACTGCCCTGGCCCTGTGGCTCCAGTTCACTCCTGGGGAGGGAGAGGACAGGGTCTGTGCCATCCCGCATGGGCCAACAGCAGCCAGTACCATGACTGCCCTTCCACCAGTTACCTCTGGGTGCTGGGCCAGTGCTGGGCCCCCTCTGGCTCCGTCTCACCTGCCAGGGCTGCTCGGCTGTCGGGGCTGGCACCTGGCTGGGCACCAAAAGTAGGAGCATCAGTGGGGACTCAGACCCCCAGTAGTACTGAGCCTGGGGACACATGCCCAACAGCAGGGCACAGCTCTGTGTGTCCCCCCTGCACATGTCCTTACCAAGAGCTGCTTGGGGATGACAGCGATGCTGACTCTGCGGCGGGCAGACCCCTGCAACAGAGGGGCTGGGGGTGAACACCACACCGGCTGCTTCTCATCACCTCCTTCCCTATCACCTCCCCAGCAAAGGCAAGGGACACTGAGGAGAAGGGACACTGCCAGCTCCCACTGGTCCTGCACTAAGAGGGGAAACCGGAAAGCCAGGGAGATGGGGGAAGGTCAAAGCCAAGGGGTTTGCGCCTGTCATTACTGCTACAAGCTGTGCTGGTGGGGCTGCCTAACCCCCTTCCCGAGCACTCCCCTACCTCTTGAGCTGTAGGGGAATCAGTGCCGAATTCGAGCTGGTGCTAGAGAACAGCCAAGCCTGTGGTTCTCGAGCTATGACCCTGCAATGCAGAGGGATTTGCCTGAGATCTCCTGGACAAGCAGCCACGGGAAACCCTGTCTGTGTCCCCCCAGCACTTTGAGGCTGCCCCTACATTTTGCCTTATCCCCAGCACTTCTAGCACATCTTCCCTGCAGCAAGCAGCGAGCCAGAGTGGCATTGCCTGGGGACTAGGGGGTGCATTGGGACAGCCAGCCAAGGGAGAACAGCAGGGCATGGGGAGACAGTGGCTCCAAGATGGCTGAACTGGACCAGTTACCTGCTGGAAAGTTCGCTTCAGGGGGTGAGGCCTCAGCCGTGGCTCCACATCATCTGGGAGCAAAGAGAAACCACCTTACATCGTCCCCCAACACTAAGATGGGGCTGATGTGCAGGCGGTCGCAAACCTCCCTCCCATCAAAAGCTGTCCTGGCCATTTGCTTTGTGCGTGGCAGGGGTGCCCTGAGCAGGGGGACCTGGTCACATGCACAGCAATGGCACATGTGGGGCTTGGTGTCCAGGGACAGAGAGTTCTTTGTGTGCATGGGGCCCCCCTGCGCCGCATTCCCAGCTGGGCTATGGGGGGATGGCTCTCCAGCCACCAGCAGCTGCTCCCACGCTGCGTCTGCTGTTACAGTGGCCCCTTGCATCTGTCATCAGGTGCCAGCTGTTCCCCCACCACTGGTCCCCAGCTCACACAACCCATTGGCTCTGTGGTGCAGGGTCACACTGACCCCCCCGGAGGGGTGTGGGACCAAATCCTGCAGGGTTGCTCTTTGCAAACCCCATGTGGGCCCCCGTGGCAGAGCCCACCTCACCCTGGGTCTCTGCCAGCTGCCGGTTGCGGGAGTTTTGCTGGATCAGGCGCTTCATCTCCTCCAGCTCCGCGTGCTCCCGCATGTGGTGCCGCTTCAGGTTCTCCACGTGCTGGACCATCACCTCTGCTGCTCGGCTCATCCGGGCCTCCTGCAGCCAGGCAGTATGGCAGATTAGGGCCCCCATTTCCTGGTCCCTAAGGAGCCAGGTCTCTGCCAGTCCCTCCCTGTGCATCCCATAGTGCCTTCACTCAGGGAGTGCAGATACATCCCCTTCCTGCTCCCAAGGACAGGCAGATGCAGCCTGGTACGTGCAAACATGAGGTCAAGGCCAGCACCACGAGGAGGAGGGACAAACCCCAGCATGCCCAGGGGTGGGTCCCCAAGCCCAGCTATAGCACCCTCCATCACTCCTAGCCCTGGCAGGGAGCTCTGGTTGTGCACAGACCTGGTGTACAGCCCCCAGCTTCTCTGCAGCGCTGGTTGCCCGCTCGACAGCTGCTGACAGCACAGCCAGGTTGTGCTGCAGCTGCTCCAGCATCTCCTTGCAGCCCACACTGGCACAGGATGGACCCAGCCTCTGTGGGGGGAGAGAATGGAGCTGCTGGAGCTGGGACTTTGAGATGTCCAAACCCCTCCCGGGCTGGATGTCCCCAGCACATGCCAGCCCCCTGCCCTGGTGCCCACCTACCTCCAGGGCAGCCCGGCACTGCCCTAGCTCCTCCTGGATGTTTTCCTCTGCTGCATCCCGTGCCCGTTTCTCCACCTGAACCCGTTGCTGCAGGGTGAACATGTCACAGCGAAAAGCCAGCGCGAGGTGGGCAAAGGCTGCCTGAGAAATGGGGGGCGAGAGATGGGACATGGGGCAGAAAGGAAGCCACCAGGACAATGTGCTGCTGTCCTCAAGGCACAGAGAGACCTCACAGTGTGCCACCAAACGGGGCAGTGCTAAAGACATTTAGCACTTGCCTTTCCCCAGCACCAGTTAGGTTGCTGCATGCTGGGCACAGTCCCTTAAGATGCCAGCCTGAGGAGACACGTCTCCCAGGCAGCCGATAACGCACGGAAATCCCGAGCCCTCCTGGCAAGAGCACGCGCCGGGCAGACGCCAGCCCTCGCTGCGGGTCCTGGCTGATGGTGGAGCCTGACTCAGCCCTGGCACTCACAGGGAAATTATTTTTATTATCGTGGCTCCCGCCAGCTCCCCAGCTAAGGGCGCTCTTCAACAGCTGCAGAGCACTTTGTAGGATTGCTGGGTGCTCAGAGGACAGACTCATCTTGCCATGGAAATGCAGCTGCCTCCAAATGCCAAAAGCATTGCTGGGAAAGGGTTTATAAGGTGTCTGCCAGTGGACTGCGGTGCCTGAAGGGTGTCCAGGAGCAGCACAGCCAAGGGACTGTGAGCCAGCAAGGTGTCCATCCCTGTGTCCCCCTTCCCTAGCCCACCTGCAGCCCCTGGCAGCCCTCACCTCCAGATCCTGCTCTGTCAAAGCCACCCTGCAGAAAAAGAAGTGCTGTCAGGGACAGAGGCATCATGGGGGCTGCATGCTGAAAATGCCCTTGTTCTGCCCCCAGGGGTGCCAGCCACCACCAGAAGCGGGAAGCCAAGTGCCCACTGCCTGGACAGCAACTCTTATGCAATGATAAAGGAGGAAAGTCCAATCTCTGGACCATGTGGTGCCCTGGTAGCCCCTGGAGAGATGCAGGTGCTCACTGGTCTTACCTGTGCAGGCCTAGTCTGTCCAGCACCGAGAGCTCACTGGGGAAACTCAGCACTGGCTCCTCCAGGGTTTCTGCACCTGCAGGGAGGCAGGGACACCACAGTAGACCACACATGAGAACTCCTCAGCCTTCCCTCCTCCCTCTGCCTTTCTGTCCTGGCAGGGAGCAGGTGCCCCTGGTGTGGAACCACCCCAATCCTTCCTCTAGCATCAGGGGGCCTTCAGGTCCCCCCAGGCCAGCCTCCCCTTCCCCATGTACCCACCAAGTGAGATGACCCCATCAGAACATGTTCCCAGACTCATCCACAGCTACTTCAAACCTTCCCCTAAAGGGACTCAGCTGGGATGTGGGATGGGGATTCACCCACCTTCTTCAGTCCTGTCACTGTCCCCGATGTGAGCAGCCTGCTCCTGCCTGGCCCTGCCTGGCACCTGGGAGGCACAAGGGTGCTGTCGGAACAAACCTCTCCCTGGTGCTGCATGGCATCCCAAAAAGACCAGCACCAAGAGGCTGAGCCCAAGGAACTAGGGAGGGAAGGGCCCCCCCAACCTGTTAACCTCCCCTCCCTCTCACCTCATTGACACGCTCCGCACTCTGCTGGCTCCCAGACAAAACCCTCTCTGGGTGCCTCTGGGGACTGCTCATCCTGCCTGGGGACAGAAAGGGTGGTGGGAGCTGGGCAGCAGGGTCCCCTTCCCAGCCTGACACCACTTCAGAGGAGACCACTGAAAACATCACTGGCATTTTGGCAGCCTGCAGGCTCACAGGGGATGTGAGCTGGCAGGTGCCCTGCAAAATATCCCTGTGAGATTAAGGGAGCTGCTGCTAGGCTGGGCCAGGGCAGGGGGAGGAAGGCAAGGTGCAGAGGGTGGGTTACAGCTGGTGAGGCAGATACAGGGGAGAAGGTTGGGGTCCCAGGGCTGGAAGGGGTTGCAGGCAAGTGCTGCCAGGCCAGGGGACACCCTCCTGCTGCTCAGGAAGGGAGGGTGCAAAACCCACCACTTTGCCCCCATCCCCACCCTGGGCTGCCCTTACCTTCATCTGGAGACGTGGGGAGCCCGGACAGCTCTGCCTGCTGCTCCCTGTGGAAAGAAGCCTGGGTAAACCCTAAAGAAACTCAGAAAGCATCGGCAACATCCCACCCCTCACCCTCCCCCCACTGCCACGGCACCCTTTGGTGTTGCTGCTCCGGACCTGGGTCCTTTCCGAGCATCCTCCACAGCCTGCTCCGTCCCCATCCCCGCTCTCCCTGGCACGGGTGCAGCAACCCCCTCCACTCCTGCTGCTGCTGCAGAGCCGCCACCGAGGAGCCTGCCGAAGCCGTTTCCAGCCAGCAATGAGTCACCGGCCCGCGGCCGTGCTTTTCCTCAGCACAGTCTTTTTTTTCTTGCCCTGGCTGCCAAGCAGACCTCACTGCGAGCTGGCCTCTTCCAGCACCACAACGAACCCAGCTGCTGACAGAGCCCAAGCACCATCTCACATCACCCCCCGGGGATGGCAGGTCTGGGTGCATGCTTTTGCCCCCCTAAAAGTGCACTGGGATGGCCTCATCACTCCAAAACCCTGCCTTGGGTGCAGGAAAGTCTGGTAGCTCTGTAGCATCCCTGCTCACTGGGGCCAGGGATGCTGGAGCTCGCCAAGGATGGCAGGTCACCAGTGCATGGAGATACAGGGGCTGATGTGCAAAGGGCCTCTGTGGCACCATGCTGGATCCCAGCACACAACTTGGAAAGGGTTTGAATCCCCAAACTTTGCCCTTAGCTCTGGAAAGGGCTGCAGCAGGGCTTTTCCCGCGCCTCCTGGCAAGCCTGGGGGTCATGCCCTGAGAGCAGTGGCTGCAGGAGAAGAGGCTGCCATGCCAAAATGATGCTCAGTGTCCCTTGCCTGGCACTGCCATCCCCATCCCATCCTTGCCAGCACCCCAAGAGCCACAGGGTGAACTTTTTGTGCACATACCTCCGAGGTGAGGGGCCGGGTTGGCAGCTCATTCTCTGCCGCTGCCGCCGCCGGCGCCCCTGGGTGAGTCCCTGCGCCTCCTCTTCCCCCTCTCCCAACGAGGTCCCTGTGAGTGGCTTCATTTGTGGAGCACAGAGGCTCCAGGACCAGCACACCTATCATGAGAGACACGCAGTAGCTGTGCACAGATGGAGAACGCCTCTAAATGTTATATTTTTAAAGCATTTTCTCACCCAGCAGGAGCTCCGAGCTCCTCTGCTTAGCATAGGGGCATGTGGGAAAAGAGGTGGGGAGGCCCACTGTGATTCAGGAGGAGGCTGGTAGGATTCAGGTGGGCATGGTGCAAGGCAAATGAGGAATTTAATACAAGCCCCATTTGTGGGCAGCGCCGAGGGTGGACTTTTGCCTGGGGCTTGTGATGTGGGTCATCTCTGTGTGGGGAGGTAACTTTGCACCCACCAACCAGTGTGAGCACCCAGTGCAGAGTGAGAGCGACCCACTGTCCCCCAGGCTGCAGACAGAGCAATCTCCAAGCATCTTCCTGCAACACTGGCTCCCAGAGAGACTAATATGAAAGATTTCCGAGTCCAAGGGAGCTTGGACAACTCATTTAAGCTGTTTTATAACATTTGAAGAATTAGAGAAAGATGCAGAAAGCCCACAGAGTCCCTCTCCCAGCCCAGGGTAAAGTCACTGTGCAGAAGGGACTGTCCCACAGGACACATCTCCTCAGAGGCTGTTCCCACAAACATGCAGATATGGGGCAGAAGGAGAAGTTTTCTGGCCGGGACAAGAAATACAGCAGAAGTCTAAGGGGACAGAGAGCAGGGACTGTTTGAAGCCCCCCATACCTGTGCAAAGCCTTGGCCGAGCTCAGTCTAGGTCACCCCAGCATCGAGCAGGGCCATCAGCCGACTCGCAGAGCCTGATGAAGGTGTAAAAGCAAGCAGCACTTGCATCTATCGAAGCCAGCCCATTTCATGCCCATACACTGGGAATTGTCGTTGACACCTTCACCCCCCCAGGGGCTCAGGAGCCCCCAGCCACTGGGCATCAGCCAAACTCATCACACCAGCAAGCATCAGAGTCCTCTGGAGGGCTGGTCCCTGCTGCAAAGCGCTTGCTCCATCACAGCCATGGCAGACCCTGCTGTCTCACTACAGCTCTGACAGCCTCACAGACACTCACTCCTATCTTTGTTTTACGGATGGAAATACAGAGGCACACGGCTGGTTTGGCATAAGTAACCCCCTGGAGAACCAAACTGAGCGCTTTCCCTCAGCTTGGCGACTTTACCAAACGCTCCCCGGGTCATTACCTGCCTGAACTCGTCTCAAGCAGCCGAAGGCAGATGCTGGGGCCACCCATCTCAGACCCAGCACTCAGCGCTGTTGGGCCCCCATCAGACCCAGGAGGGGGTCAGGGGACGTGGCGTGGCTGGCAGATGGTGGATCGGGGGGTGCTGGAGCCCCACACGGTGCAAGCTGCCAGCAGCAGAGCCTCCCCGGAGGGGAGAGCAACTGCATCTGCAGCAGAAGGAGCTGCCAGGGACAAGCCAGATGAGAGAAGGCCTTTAAAGGAGATGCACAAGAGCAGCTGGGAGCTCCCTGTGCCGGCCGGGGCGGGTGGAGTGGGCTGCAGGTGGTCAGGTGACCTCTGCTTTCGATGAAAGGCCAGTTCCTGCACCCACTCTTAGGAGGTGACAGAGCTGGGAAAGACAACGACTGCTCCCTCTGTGCCGGGTGTCTGTAGAGCAGAGCAGTCCTGAGCAGGAGGCTCAGGGCAGGGTGGTGGCACTCAGGACCTCCACAGAGACCGGGGATCCCCCCATGCTTTCATGGGGGATTCAGCACCAGGCTAAACCAGGATAGCTGATTAGGAACCCCTGTATTAGGTGATGCAGGGAAGCCATTCTGCCCAGGCCCCCCATTCCTCCTGCTCCTCTCAAGTCCTACTTTCCCACCAGCCATCACCCCACTGCCCCTTCCCCTGCCCAATCACTTTACTCAAATCCATCACATCCTCTAAAGCAGCTTTCTTCCCCTAATGAGCTTACAGAGTCAGATTCGATGCTCAGCACTACCAGGCTAAGCAGGCAGCTGCTGTTGCCCCCCCTCTTTGTGCCCAAGGTACCCTGATGTACCCCAAGGAACAATGCAGCCCCTTGGGGTCTGCAAACCTCTTAAGCCCTGAGAGGGCAAACAGCATCTCCCAGCCCCGGGGCAGACCTGGCCCAGCCTCTGCCCTGCCTGCCAGAGCAAGAGGCCAGGGTGTGGCCCCAGGGCCAGAGGTTACAAAACAAGGGGGGTGGAGGACAGACACCTTTGCACAGAGCCCTGGCTTCCTCCCCGGGAGCAGCAGCCTGGCACCAAGCAGCAGATGAGGCTCTGTGGCCTCTCCTGCAGTGTCCTGGCAGGTCCACAGCTGCAACAAGGTGCTCCATGAGAGACACAGACCTAAGGACACCATCACACTAGCTCCCCTATTCCCTCCCACGCTCTGGGGAGAGTTAATAAGAGGCAGTGCCCCTCTTTGCAAACCATCCCATTCAAACAGCCTCTAAAGCATTTACTTAAACACACATGGATTTTTTTCTATTCTTATTTTTAGCCTTAGAGCATCTAAATCGCGATTGCAATCCAGGTTATTATAGAGCCTCAAACAAGAAAAAGCAGCCCAGCTCCCCTCACACAGACCTGATCAGTGGGAATGAACAAGACCCTGCTGGGAGTTCTCCAGCCCAGGGAGGTGAGCACGTGGCTGTGGGATCTGGCTTTGCCCCCTGTTCTCCTTCCAGCGAGGTCCCTCTGGCAACGCAGCAGCTACTGCAGCAGCATCTTCCAGGGCTCCTGCTGAAGCTGAGCTGAACTTGCAGCTCAGATTGCAGAGACTCTGGTCATCTGGATTATCCACTTCTTGGAAGAAAGCTGCTCACACCGACACTGGCTGCTACTGCTGATGTGGCAAACGTGATTTATTAGGTCTGTGCAGGGGCCCAACAGTAAAACAACAGCCCAGCCCTACCGCAAAGTCACCTTTCTGAGGCCCTGGCTCCTCAGCCGACAGGGACCTGGCAGCCACCAGACTACCCAAGGGAGAACATGGTTCTCTTCTTATGATAAAAAGGTTGTTGGCAAAAGGATGAGAAGGAAAAATGTTCTTTTTATTCAGTTTTAAATTCCAAGTTAAAAAAAAAAAATTGCTGAGCCTTCCCCAGAGCAGCCTCACATCTGGGTGTCACAGCCCCCAAGTTTCCATGCAAAGCAGCATCAGCACGTTGGGGATTACACACAGGCAATTAACAGGCTGTCACTGGACATGCAGTTACCTCCAGGGAGAAGCAGGGTGACTACTGGCCCCTGGCACTGCTGCAAGAGGGTGACACAGCAACTACCTGGACATGCCTGCAGCTCCTGCTTGGAGAGGGGCAGCCCCTTGGGGATGGATATGGACCATTTTCAGGAAAGCTGCTGAGTTTCAGCCCTTTCCAACAAGCTGCTGCATGGCCCAAGGCTCCTCCAGGGCTCTGATGTCTGGTGTTTAATATCTGTGGATGCATTGTTCGCACACCCCTGCCCATCCCAAGGAGGTTGTCTGCTGCCCGATCATGGCACCGCGATGGCACTTGGGGAGTGGAGGGATCATCTTGTCATGAAACTGGTTCCAAAATTACTGTGGAAGCAGCAAAGTGAACAGATAATTCATGCAATCATATATTATGAATTTCCTTTAAAAAGAAGAAAGAACTAATAGGCCAAAAAGGGAATTCCCCACTGTACTATGAAGGAAGTAAATCTCTACAGAAGAGGAAGCAGATAAGGAACCACTGTCAAATATCACAAGTAGACTGGCTGAAAATTATACACCTATAACATATGCATTCAACATCCAGCCTAAGAAAGGTCTTGGACAAAGCTTCAGACAATTCTCTTCACCAATACTGCTATTAAATCAGGACAAGGGCAAAGCCAGTCCTGGTGCTCCCTCCACCCTTGGATAAGGTTCTGCTAAACTATAAAACCTGACAGATGTTTTATGCTGCAGGCACCTCTTTGCACTGTTCAAGCTGGATTTTAAAGTTCTTGAGGGTCAAGAGGAGTCAAAAGTAACTCCACCACACCACTGTGTGGGTGCTACCAACTGCCACATAAACAAGCAGTCCATCACCAGCATGTTTAGTGTCTCTGGGGTTTGCTCCAAATTCTCCTTACACAATTGTTATCTGCACGTACACCCTAGAGGAATCCACAGCACATGATAAGCTGCAGCCAAGAGCAAAACCAGGGCTAAGAAGGCTCTGTCCACAAGCCAGAGTAATGCTTCCCAGCAGAACAGGAATCCCCCTTGCAGTCTGCAAAGCTGATCCCTTCCTGACTACCATTTCTTGCAAAACCCACGTAAGCTGGCCCAAAGCACAGCTCCCGCTGTGTCCCGACAAGCTGGAGGCACAAGCCGCAGTGCAGCAGCAGCAGCCAGGAACTGTCACAATGAGCCCACTGCCTAAAGACAACACCGAGGAGTTACAACAGCAGGCACCCCTTGGGGAGCAGCCGTGCGCCATGGCTGGAAAATTTCCAACCCTTTATCACTGCCCAGTCCACAGAGACACTGAGGCTTCCCCACGGAGCTCCAGGTACACACGGCATGTGCATTCTCAGCAATGACACCGGGAAGCTGATTGCCATGAATTTTAGAGATCAGTTTGTCCTTGGTCATCTTCACATGACCGACAGCCACGGCCAGATGGAGCAGTGGGGACAATGACACTGAGGTCATTTGGTAGAAGCTCTGCAGGGAAACTGCAAAGACCAGAGCCTGCTACCTAATAAAGCCAGAACAGCAGTCTCAGACCTTGATGATCATGGCACAATTTCTATTTATGTCATATTTTGGGCAGCCCTACAATAGCTTCACTTTACTGAGCCACTAACTCAGTGGAATGCAAACACAGCAACAATCCAGCTCCCTGGAGGTTTCTGTCTTCCAGCTAATGCAGACTTTGAAGCCTCATCAGTCCACTGTCACCTAAAATAGCTTAAGAGATTCTTATATAAAGAAATCTGTGCTCTCAGCCTTAAGAGCATCACCTAATGCTTCAAAGTTTCCTTCCTCTGGCTGGATCTAAATGAGCAAACTTAAAGCAGTCACATGTCACACCTACAAGTTTTAGTTCCCTTTCTCCCTTTGTAGATGTAAATGTTTATGGATTTTTAAATAGCTCCAGAACTATGCAACACTTCTAACCTTCATTAAAACCCTAGCAGTACCTCTCTGAGTCCATCCACTCTCTCCCATCCTTTTCTTCCCAGCTCCCAGACCAGGAGGTGCCTAAATGAGGTTTCCAGCAGGTATTTTCAAGGATACAGGATAGAACTTTGGGCACAGTCACACTATAGAAGCACTTTTTATTAGAGTATCATTAAACATCCTGCAACGGGAAGTGTCATCATCCCCAGAAATGTGTCACACACAGCAGGGTCCCTAGTAAACAGGAAAAAAATGTGGATTTAAAGCAGAAAATTCAAGTTTCCCAGCTCTTCAGCTAAATCCCACTCTCCTGAACCCAGAAATATGTAAATCCCAGCCGATCAGATACACAGTGCAGCAGACCGCCACACTGCTCCGAAACCAGCTCAGCTCTCGGAGAGGAACGCTGACACGTGCAGAGCTTCTGCCTTGGAATGTGACAATGTAAAACCAGGATAGTGAATTAGGTCCAGAATTATTAGCCTCACAGAGCCTCAAATCAATATCTGTCCTCGTTCAGCGATGTGTTTTGGACATTAATAACTCAGAATCTGCGAACTCAGCCCCAACAGCCCCACCCGGTCGGCATCCTTGGAGGGGCGGGGCGAGGCCGCCATGTTGAGTGCGGCTGGTCGGGGGCCGCCATGTTGAGTGCGGCTGGCCGGGGGCCGCCATGTTGAGTGTGGCTGGTCGGGGCCGCCATGTTGAGTGCGGCTGGTCGGGGGCCGCCATGTTGAGTGCGGCGGGCCGAAGGGAGAGCACATACAGAAACGCCTGGAAACACGTTAATTGTTCAAACAAGAGCTCCGGGGATGTGGGAGGCTGGGATGGCGCTGCCCAGTGATAGTACCCTCACATCAGATGCTACCGTGAGGCTTTGGATACTCTGTGGGGCACAGACCCCATCTGTGGGGTCCCACCCCATTGGGGGAAACCCAGTGCAGGGTGGGCTGCAGCTGCCACTGCGCAATGAGTGTTCTCTATGCAAGGAACCTGTCACCTCGCAGTTCCCTTTGGTGGTCACCTGAGAAAAGAAGAAGACAAATCAAGAACAGGGAAGCCCACCGCCATCCACACCACAGCATGGTGCCAGCACGGCTCCATCACGGCTCTGGCACAGCTCCATCACGGCATCTGTGGCGCCTGCTGGTTTCCGATCGCTGGGGCAGCCTAGAGCAGAGAGCCTGTCATCCCCCATGACAGAGACTCCTGCACCCACCTCATCTGGCCCCTTCCAGCACAGCCTGCAGTGATTTCTTCAGAGCTGCATTGCTCTGATCCAGGGCAGCAGCCAGACTGCTCCGATGAGTTGGGGTGACCTGGGATCAAGAGAGTATGAGCTTGGAGCGCTGCCCTGCCAGGAGCCCACCTGAGACCACTGGACCAGGTCCCAGGCCAGCTGCAGCCCTGGTTGCCGGCTCACCAGCCCATCTGCAGGACCTGAGCCTGGTCTCGCTCACCTGGCTCTGGTACATGGTAAGCATGGCCGTCACCAGCTTGGCATAGTCAAGCGATGTGGCAAAGGCTGAGGCCTGCCGACACAGCGTCAGGACCAGGAGATCCAAGAGCTCCGGGGGCAGCACCTCCTGGAAGAAACCCAGGAGCAGGTAGGAGAACTAGTCCTTGCTCCAGCACTGCTGGAGTCAGCAAGGAAACCTGGGGGACAAGGGGCCTCTCTCACCTGCCGCACCAGAACGGCCTGCACTACCGGCAGGAGCTTCTCTGACAAAGGCATCTCCAAGACTTGGCTAAAAGTACAGTGAAGAGAAGACGTGCTGCTTCACAGCCTTGCTGGTGCTCCCAAGTGGCTGGAGCCAGCTGACCCATCCAGGCAGGCATGAGGCCAAAGCAGCACTGTTGACCCTGTAATCCCTTACCTTAGCACCAGCTGCACACAGTGTGGCTCCAGGCACTCCTCCACAAGCTCACACACCAGCTTGGTCTGCTCAGCACCTGCAAGGGCAAGTCAGATGGGGAGAGCCTCCAAAGGCTGCCAAATCCATAGGGATGTGCCCAACTCTTCCTAGCAGCCCTTCACACAGGCATAGTGTCAGTCAGGACATGCAAAAACCACATAGTGCCCCGTTCTATTGTTCAGGATAATCCTGTTTCCTTTGCCCACCTGCACTCAGGGTTTAAATAGCACCAGTCCCTAGGAAAAGGGGTTCACGCATGAGGAGAGGCATTCAGCCAGCAGCTGGGAAAGCTGATGCTGGAAGCTAGCTTGGCCTCCCCTCCCTCTCCATCTCAGGCATCTGTAAACCCATCTCCCATTCTAATGCAAGTGATTGCTTGCCCAGGTAAAACCAGCCCTATGTCTCCATGGATCCTAACACATGTTCCACGTGACAAATGCCTCCCAGAAGACAGCACTTTGCAGTTGGGGCCCTTCTCCAGCTCCCACAGCCATGTCTCCCACAAGCCCACCGCACCTTCCCCTGGCTCCTGCAGGACCGCAGCCACCAGCACATGGCAGAAGGGCTGGGAATACTTGGAGCAAAATGAAGCGAGGGCAGCCATGAGGTGTCGGGAAGGTGGCTGGGTAAGGGACAGGACCTAGGGACAGAAAAGGCAGGAGGTGGGGATGGTGGAGAAGGGAAACAGGGAGCAGGAAACTTCTGCTGCCCTTGCACGTACTCGCCTGAGGAAGAGCTGCTCTGCCAGGATGGCCGCGCTGGTGTAGCTGAGGTCAGGGGTGAGAGCCAGCAGCCACCTGCAGAAACGCCCCAGGAAGGGCTCTGGGCACACAGACAGCTGGAGGAAGGAGCACAGTCCTTCAAGCTGGGGATGGCAGAGGGGATGGGACGTTAGGGATGGCACCAGGCCCTCCGCAATACTGGCGGCTGCAGCAGGGATGCTGAGACTCACCTGGCCGGGGGAGCAGTTGTTCAGGATGCACAGCTCAGGCGGGATGCTCAGCTCGGAGTGCTGGAGGGAAAACAGTCCTAAGTAATGCACCAAATAAATCAACACACAATATATGGCCCTAAGGATTTTCCTTTCCCCTCACGTCAGCCAGCGCTGTGCCCACAGGCTGCCCCTCACACAGCAACCCCTGCGAGGTGCAGGCACGTATCGGTATCCCAGCCCAGAGGAGGTGGCAGTAGGGCTTTCTATCCTTGTCCAGTCAGTCCCATGAAACCCACCTCCTTTCTCATCCTTTTTGAGGCCCTGGCACGAGCCCATTTAGACCACTGGCTCCAGGAGACAGACAGAAGCAACCACTTACGCTGGACTCCTGCAGCAGCAGCATTTTCAGCTTCTGTCCATGCATCTGAGGGAAATGAGATAAAGGAAGGGGAATCAGGCTGTAAAGGCTCACTGTCTGGAAGGGGAGAGCAAACCCTACCCAGTACCTGGAGAAAGAACTGGGCCTCTGCTGGCAGCTCTGTTTCGGGACTCTTCCTGAGCTCCCCAACTGCATCCTGCTGGCAGCTGTCTGGAGCAGTCCCATCTGTGCTCTCAGCACATGTATCCACTGAAGGCTCCTCAGGCACCTCCTCTTCTATCCCTGTCACATCCCCACATTCCTGGGGTGCCAGAGGGTCAAACGCCACCTCCTCCAGCAGCAACCTCTTCCTCTCTCTGTCACTGACCAACTCCGCTCCCTCCTCCAACACTTTCTTGCGCTTTCCACCTTGAGGCACAGAGTCAGTCACATCTCCAGTGGCACCAGGCTGTTTCCTAAAGCACCAGTTCAATTTCCTTTGCCCCTCTGGTTTGTTCTGGGCAATTTTCTGGCACAGGCACCTAAGCTGCTGCTGGCATGTAGACGAGAGTGGAGTGGGAGATGGGAAGCGCTCTTCTGTTCTTGGTCCCTGCCGGAGCAGATCCCCCAGCGTCCGCATCCAGGGATCCACATGGGAATCCTGTTCCATGGCCTGGAGCAGCTGGCCAAGGCAGCCCCCTGGTACTGCATCCCGCATCACGAGGAGCAGGGAGAAGAAGTTTCTCTGGCACATGATAGGCAGCAGCAGCAGCCGTGGCTTGCTGGGTAAGGGGAGAAAAGGAAAGGCAACTTGTCACAGCAAACCTCCTCGTCCTGACTCCAAGCTGCCCTGTGTGCCTCTCTATGGAGCAAGAGGAGGCAGCAGCTAATGCCTTCACCAGCTTTTGCAGACACAAGCTGGGAGATCAGCTGGCCGCTGATACGATCCCAGACTCAGGCATGGACCGCTGCACTGGGGTAAGTGGACATGCGGTCCCAAATTAGGCACCTGACACGCCAAACCTCCCACAAAACACCGAGTTTCAGAAACGCATCTGACTCACACAGCCAGGACGCCCTGTGGCTCCTCCAGCACGGGCTCCTCGGCGCACAGGGCTGCGGTGAGGGCCTGCCAGGGGAACGCCTGTCCCGGTCCCTCGCGGGGCTGGTCCCGCTGCAGCATCCGGAGGGCGGCGAGTGCCCCGGCGGGGCCGGAGGCCAGCGCGTGGAGCAGGAGGCGGCACGGCCGGGCAAAGCTCTGCAGCCAGGGCGGGCAGCGGGGCTCCATCGCTGCTGCGGGGGCTCCACAGCCGCCTGCGAGACACGGGGGAGAGCCGGGCGCGGGTCACACGGGGAGAGGCGCGGGAGCATCAGGACCCGGCCTGCCGTGCTCGGAGCCGACCCCGGCGCCAGTTTCGGGGGCTGCCCTTACCTGCCCTTACCTGCCCTTCCCGCCCGAGGATGCGGGAGCGTCACTGGGGTCGCACCGGGAGCCCCTCGGAGCCCTCCAACACCCCTTCCCCGGCAGCTCCCCCATCCCCGGCTCAATCCCCGCTGCCCTCCCGGGGGAGCTCCCCCCGCCCCCTGCGCACTGCCCCAGTCACTGCCGTGCCCCGGGCACAGCCGAGGCAGCCCCGACACTCATGGGGGGCCCCACCGGGCTCCACCCGCTGCCCCGGGCCCGGACGCGCCGCTTCCGGCCCCACCCCGGGAAACGCTAATCAAGGGCGCGCAAACGAGTCATTATGCAAATATCCCCTAATCCCAAAAACCGCCCCGCCCCCTGGGGGTGGAGCCAGCCAGCCCCCGGACAGAGACCCCCGGTACCGTGATGTTACGTACGCGTTTTATTTCGTAATTCCCGGATTTGGCTAAAACCAGTTTAAAACAGTGCCCGCCCCGGCCCGTGGGCCTTAAATCCCCACGTTAAAGCCCCAGCACCCAGCCCAGCCCCCCGCCCGGTACCCGCGGGTCTCCCATTGAGGGGGCGAGGGCAAGAGCATGGGGACTGTGCCCCACCGCCCTGAGTCACTCCCGGCGCCCCGATAAATGGCAGCCAGACCGCTTCCCCATCCCACCCCCTCCCTGCAACACTGCCTATGCCCAGAGCCACTCCAAAACAATGGTGGAAGTCAAAAGCAGATGATTCCCCCTCCCAGAGATGCCACCAGCATCACCTAGGCCCAGTGTGACCCCCCACGGCTCAGTCCGAATTGCTGAAGTCAATGAGAAGCATCTCGTGGCCATAACTTGAGTAGTGAAATTCTGTCTCCAGCACAGTCAGGGTGAGAGCCCACTCGAGCATGCAGAGCTCCTCATCCTCCTCACCAGAGCTCTCCGAGGAAGAAGGGTTGAACTCCTGCAGCACAGGAGGGAGGATGAGCCCCGGTCTCCCACCGCATTGCACCCAGCCCAGCCCCATGACTTGCCTCCCCACTTACAGTGGGCATCCTCAGCCGCTGCTGTCTGCGCCGTGGCAGCCGGCTGGTGGGCAGCTCGTGCAGGTAGATGCAGTCAGACCTGAATGGGCAGTGGCCACGGTTTCGAACAAAGAATTTACATCTGATTTTCCTGCAGGATTCCAAGCACAGTTGTGAGTGTGGCTCCCGAGGCAGCACAGAGCCCACAGCCCTGCCACCCGCAGTTCCATGCACTCACCCTGTCCGTGCCTTGAAGGTTCTGATGAGCTTCTCCTTCTCACCCACATCCGAGATCCAGTATTTGTGGGGAATATAGTAACTGGAAGTGATCCGGCACTCTGGGCAGGCCCTGGGTGAAGGCAATGGGTGCAGATGGGTGTCCCAAAAAGGGAGCAGGGAGCACAGGCTCAGCACCCATGCAGGGTGGTCCTGCTGCCATGGCCTCATCCAGTATCCCCATTCCTACTCCCACTGACATGTTCCCAAAGAAAAGTCGTGCCAATGCAAAGTCACATCACCAGACCTAAGGAAGGATTTCAGGGTGCAGAAGGGGTGATGGTGACCACTCTCCATTGTTCCCATCCCCACTCACTTTATGACTCTGCTCTGGAAGTCCCGGCTGCGGCGCCACTTGCGGATGCATCCCACGCAGTACGCATGGCTGCAGTTCGGGAGGATCCCAAAGAGCCGCTCTTCCGGCAGCGGCTTCTCGTACACCCTGTCCATGCAGATGCCACACACCACGGCCTCACTCTGGGCTCTCAGTGCCTCGGTGGGGACTGGGGCTGCCGCAGCACCCAGATCCATAGAGACCTGCACGCAGAGAAGCAAAGCATGGCAACCCCCCAGCTCCATCAATGCCCTGGCCTTGGGGAGTGCCTGGCCACAGGACACCCCCAAACCCACCTCTGCAGGGTCAGTCCCCGTCACCATCTCCACCACTGTCTCTCTGGGGTCAGAGGAGTCTGCATCCAGTGCCAGCCCTTGTAGCTGGGAGCCTGCAGGAGGAAAGCTCTTAGAGGGGAAAAGCACATCCCACCCCACCATCAGAGAGCCAGGCAGGCTGCTAAGAGCATGCAGCCTCAGCAGTGACGGTCCCCTGGAGACCTCTCCACAGCCCCAGCTTGGCCAAGGTTTGGGGCACGGGCAGAAACATGCTCGGACTGCTCCACCGTGACCACTCCAGTATCCTCAGCCCCACTGGTCCCCTGGGCAGCCTAGCACCTACCTGAGGCACGCTGAGCATGTGTGGGGACAAATTCTCCACTGATGTTATCAGGTGCTGTGACGTTCTTCTTGTCTTTCTGTTCCACCTCAACCTCCATGTTTGGGAACTTGAAGGCCACACGTGTCGTGCTGGGGGCAGGGTAGTCCGAGGTGCGCTGGGGTCCCACCCAGCCCTGGGCCGTGGCCGTGGGCACAGTGCCAGGCTCTGGGCCCCAGTGGCAGGGGGGCATGGAGGGATCCAGGCCATGGCGGGATGGCACCAGCTCCTCCTGGATGTGCTGGTAGCTGGAGGAGCCCAGAGACAAACAGACAGAGAGTCTCATCAGCCCAGCATGACTCCTCTTGGCTCCCAGCCCATCCTTGGGGCATCAGACTCCTGCTCGCTGCCCCTTACCTGCACTGCTCTCCGTAGCTGCAAAACCCACTCCGGAAGTACCTGCAGATCTGAGCTGAGTTTCTGTCATGTAAGAAGCGGCAGCTCTGGCCCCATCGACAGGATCCACGGGCAAAATTCCTGTTGGCCAGAGGAGCCGCATGGTTGGGGTCAGACCCCACTCCAACCTTGCTCCACCAGCCACCCTGACACCCCTCCGGGTACCAGTTAGTCTGGGTGGGGCCATAACTTGCAAAAGCCCCACCTGGTGTCTGGGCTCAGGAGCCCCTGCCAAGGGCAGAGCCCGGGGGGAGCCAATGCTCTCCCAGCCCCATCCAGCCTTCTCTCCTGGTTAATTGCAAAGCAAAATAAAGCTTAGGACTGGGCTGGCCTGGGGGCTCTCCTCAGGGCAAGCCAGGGGTGCTGAGGGCTGGGGCAGCCCCTGGCTCCCTGTGGAGCCATGGAGAGCGCAAGGAGTCCTTGGTTTGCAGCTGACGGGAAAGAGGTGCCTGGCTGGAGTGTTTCTGGGGACCCCCAGCTCCGGAGGTGGGGCAGCTGCATGGGGAAATGGGTGGGGGGTGGGTCAAGGCCATCCCAATCCACTCTCTGTCCCCACAGGGAGGGACTCGTGGCCCCATCTCAAGCCTATCTCCCCCAAAAGCTGCTCGCAGCCCTCCCGACCCCAGGCCTTTTACCTGCACCGGGGTCTCAGACAGCTCTCCCTGGCCGTTAACGTCCCAGATGCCACCTTCGAGCCCGGCTCCATCTGTTCCCCGGCAGCCAAGAGGGCTCGGCTACTTCCCGGGGCTGTTTATGGCCTCAGGTGTATCACAGTCCGTCTGGGATAATTCTCCTCTCGGAGTGGGAGCTGCGCTGCGATTTGGGCGGAAGACAAGCCCGAATAAGCCCCGAGGGCTGATAGCACTCGGGAGCGTGAGCATTGTTTACTTTGAGTCAAGGACTTCCAGCTCCTCTTGCTCCTGAAGTGAGAAGCCTGGTGGGGGTCACCACTCCAGTGTGCATCACTAAATTCTGTATATTCTAATTCTTTTATCATTACTATTTCCTTTTTGTTTCAGTCATATTAAACTATCTCAACCTATAAATTTCACTTTTTTCTCAGTTCTCTCCCCCATCTCACTGGGAAGGGAGGCAGTGAACAGCTCGGTGATGTTTTGCTGCCTGCTGGGTTAAACCATATAAGGTCCCCAGCCAGGTACCCTGGATCACATGCCCAGCAGCACCACAGCTCCCTGTATCCCCAGATGCATGGGAGAGGTGGGGGACAATGGAATAGGTTCTCCCAGGGGCACTCAAACTGGGAAGTCTGAGGGTCTGCAGCTGCTCTCTGCAAACTCTTGGGTGTTCAGACACAGCCAAGGGCAGAGCCCAGAGCCAGAATGTGGCCCAGCTGCCCCAGAGCCCATCCTTGCCCATCTTGGGGTGGTTTTGGCTGGGCTGAGCTCATTGCCCAGCTCCACCTGCAAGCATTTGGGGCAGGAAGCGCCCAGCTCTGAGACTGGGACCCTGTTCAGAAATGGCTCTTTCTGCTGCCTTTAGTTTGCAGGCAGGAAAACCACAGGAGCTATGAGATCTGGGAATAATGGAGACTTAGGAATCATGGCAAATTCCTGGAAATCACAACAGATCCAGCAAATCCCATCACCTCTGCTGGAAACCCTCCCATGGGCAGCCCCCCAGGTGCCAAGAGAAATCCCACAAAGATAGGCTGGACACTAAAAGGTTCTTAAATATTTAGTTCAGATTTATTTAAAGTCAAGTCAGTTTGTGGACACTATTTATATTATTAAAAACACTTGGAGGTTTGTACTTCTAGCAAAAATATACATTTCAGTTTGAGGGTTGTTACACTGTTGAGGAAGGAAGAGCAAAAAGTTCCCCAGGTGATGGGCACAAGTCCTGCATGTGGCTGTGGTGGGGATGCCACCAGGGCTTTGGGATGGGCAAATCCCCTGGGCTCCATCCAGCACACGCATATCTCCAGTGCCTTCCCGGAGAGGGCTTCAAAGTGCTTCAGAAATGGTAACTCCTAACGCCCCTGCAAGGTAGGGAAGGGAGGGGCTGGGCAGGGAAACTGAGGCACAGCAAAGGGCTGGAGTGCGGCAGCAGGGGCAGGTTTGGCCATCGCCAGCCCTGTGACGGGGTGGGGAAGCCCAGTGCTCTTCCCCTTTGGGTTTTTTAAAGGAATTATTGCACCAGGGAAATCTGCTACCCTGAAGACAAGGAAAGTAAAATAAAACCGACTAATTTGCTCCCACAACCCCTCCTTGGGGATTTCAGTATTTTAATAAGGCTGCTCAGGACACACAGGACCAGGAGCTGCAGACAGGTAAGTGCTACTTCTTAGGTCAGACACCATCATCCTGAGAGGGAAACTGAGCCCTTCCCGGGTCCATCCTCTCCCCTCGAGCTCAGGTGATGCAGCCCTTCACACTGGGGGCTTAGCCCAGCCCAGCCCAGGCAGCACTATGGCATTTCACTACAGCTGCGAGAAGTTATGAGGTAAAGTCCCAAAACGGTGCTGGGTTTAGGCAGACCCTGAAGCCTGGAGCTGTCCCAGCTCTCGGGACAGTGGCAGAGGAGGACTGGCAGCTTCCCCAACCTGGCTGTGCTCTCTGGGAAGCTCCTGCCCATTGTGAGCATCCTACCCGCTCCCTCCCAGTTTATAAATCCTTGGCATTTATACTGGGGTTTACAGCTGTAAAGCTCTTTGCAACCAATGCACTAAAGGATCCTTTTGCTCCCCCTCGAAGCAGAGAGCCGGTGACAATCCAGGTCCCTTTCACAGGGCAAACTGAGATAGGACACCAAACCCTGACCAGCCCAAAGCCCCTGACCCTGCACAGACCTTTTTGGTAACTCACAGCTGTGCAGAACAGCCTGTGGAAGCCACAAATTCCAGCCTCTGCTGTGAAGGTGAATTTTAACGAGTCAAATCCTTTCCCTCCCACCTCCCCATCCCTCCTCTCATACTGAGGTGCCAAGGAACACATTCCCTCTGGAATCAGGGTGCCAGGAGCACAGGTTCCCACACAGCACTCAAGAAGGCAGAGCTCACACAGTCCCTCTGGGAGACAGGAACACACTGCACAGCACAGGGGGCTGCTGCTGAGGGTCCCTGCTAGGACAGCCCTACCCGTGTTCAAATACTCTGGCTTTTCTTTGGGAAAGAGAGAAACATCCTTTCACATCACAACTGTCCCAGACTTCACGGCTCAGGACTATGTCTTCGGAGTGCAAACAAACAAGAAAATACAGACACGCTGTAAGTGCTGCTGCTGGTCCCACCGGACCCCTGCACCTCGCTCGGGTCTCCTAAGGACCAGAGCTCCTCCCACCTTGGGGACCTGGGGTGCTGTAAGAACCCCACTGCCTGTGCCATGTAAACCGGGCGGCCGCTCCAGAGGCCCCGGAGCAGCTGGAGCTGGGCCGCAGTAACGGAAACAGCAGCTGTGGAGATTTGTTAGTGTGTGTTAACGGAAGCCCTGGCCGAGCAGGAGGCAGCTGCAAATCGTGACAGCATCTTGCCCTACGTACCGTATGTCAGGGTCACGTAGAAAAGAGTTTCCAGTAGAAGAAATGGAAGACACAGGGAAGGGTTTTCTTTGTTTCTGTACAAAGAGTCTTGATGGGAATCCATGGCTTCATTCTCATAAATAACAGATCCTTAGTACATGTCCTTGTAGATCTCCTGCAGAAGTGGGTGCAGAGATGTCTCTGTCTCTGTCTTCTTGATCTTCTGCACCAGCTGGGCATGCTCTGTCACCAGCTGCCGCAGATCTGCCATCTTCTGCAGCAGCTTGGGGAAGAGGTACTGGGCATCCGGGTGGTTGGCCTGTAGGTGAAACTCCAGCACTCGCAGGATGTTGTCTTGGATCTCCTCCACCTGCTTCACGTTCATCAGGCCAGGACGGTCTGTGGAGAGGAAGCACAGTAGCTGCAGGGTCATGGGGCAGCCCTCCAAAGCACACGCTCCTCCTGAGGAAAGGAAGCTGGGGACTGTATCCCACCCACTGTGACTCCAACCTCATCAGCTAGAAAGGGGAGAAGTGCTACCCACAGCAGCACATGAGAAGGAGATGCCACTTCTACACTCCTTGCTCTTGGTCCAAGCTTGCCAGGCATCACCACCACAGAGCAGCTTTGGGTTTGGAAGTGTTCAGTTCTCCTCTTGTGCCCCTGACACACCCCTGGCTGACCCCAGGGCCAGCTGCAGCTCAGCTCCCCCAGCCCCCTCTGACCCACCTCTAAGTAAGGAGGACTCTTCCTGACTCTGGCATGGCCGAGGGCACCCACTCACCTCCACACAGGATGATGGCTGCCACAAACAGGGACAGGTCACTGTCATCCAGCTCCAGCGCGTTGAACTTCACAGCAAACTCAAATTTGGGCTCCATAATCTCACTGAAGGGCTTGCGCAGGCTACGCAGGAACTCACGGGTCACGAAGCCGTTCCCGTTGGCCACCAGCAGCCCATCCTTGTTCATGATGGATGCCAGCATGGCGAAGATGGCCTCGTGCACCCCGTACTTGAGCAGAGTCACTTGGTCGTTCAAGTAGAGGCCTATGAAGCTGGGGATGCTCTTGGCAAACTCTGTGAGCTCCCGCACAGTCTCCACCGTGGTGCACTGGCAGCGGTAGAAGACGTGCACCCCAATCTCCTTGTAGGGGGGAATGCCATTCACCAGCTGCTTCCACACCAGCCCCTTCTCTGCCTGCCACAAGGTGTCCATGTCATGGATCACAAAAGGCTGCTTGAACAAGAAGCAAGTTAGGAGTCTGCTGTGGGGACTCGAGGTGCCAGCTCTGCCCAGGACACTCATGTTTGCCTGCCTGTCCCTGTGCTGTTCCCTGCCTCTGGGACTGACAATGCTCAGGCAACCTGCACCCACCACCACAGCACAAGTCTGCACAGCAATGGGACTTTTCCTAGCGAGGGGCAGGACATGCAGGGCCCACCTAGCTGCAGGTGGGAACTGGTGCATGTGAAACAGCTATGGCAGGAGGGAGATGTGCAGCATCTCCCAGAGAACAGCCCTCTGTGCTGGCCATGGCCAACCCCGCCTGCCCTGGGAGGGAACTTACTGGGGTGCTGCTGGCTTTCCCGGTCAGGATACCTCTTGCCTTCTTTTTGGTCATGTTGAAATTCTTCAGGTAGGCATTGTAGATGTGCTTGGAGAAAGCTTTCAGGTCAGCCACCTGCGGGTTCTGGCAGCTGATCTCGCTCGCTGTCAGCCCTGCCACCAGCTTTCTCTTCTCTGCCTCTGGCATGCGCCCGAAGCGGATTGCTGGGGGGGCAAAACCAGTGGGTCAAGACAGGGGGGTGACTCCAGGAGATGCATCCAGAGAGGTAGCAGGTTGTTCTGCCACCGCAGACGGACAGGTCTGCTGATGAACCCCTGCACAACACAATGCTTCTCCAGGATGCAGCTCCTCCAGCACTGGCACCTTCATGAACCAGCCACTGTTGCTTCCCTCACACCAGACTCCCATCCCAGTCCTCTGGGCTCTTGCACAAACCCACATAAACACCTTTGCTTGGTCATGACCTAGATGGTTACACGAGAAGTTTTAAAATCCTGGCACAGAAGAGCAATCTGTGTGTCCAATTCCCTCTGGGCCAGTTCATAAGGCACAGCCATGTACCAGCAGCTGTCCTGCATGGTGGGAATGAACAGCCCCTTCTCGTATAGAAGACAGGGATGAAGAGTCAAAAGCTTGAAATATTGTGTTTGAATGATCCTTTGGCAAGGAGAACCATGGGCTAAAGCACAGCTTGCCATATGCACCTTTCATAG